AAAGAGAGGAAAAACTCCTTAAAATATCAAATCCAATTTCAAAATACACTCAAAAAAATACTTTAAAAAAAATCTAAAGAATAATTATTTTTATTATTATTCAAAAAGATACGATTGGTTTATACTAATATCTCTTAAAGCAAGTGAGGGATTTCTTAAGAGCTTATTAAGAGTAAAAAAAATCTTCAAATTTAAAATCCAAATTCAAAATATACTTTGAAAAAACCACTAAAAACAAATCTTATAAAGTGAATAATTCTTTCTTTATTCAAAAAGGCACCACTTGTTAATATTAACTCTTCATGAAGCATGTAAGGAATTTCTTGAAATTTTATTAAGAGAAGAAAAACTCTTCAAAATTTCAAACTCAAATTCAAATATACTTCAAAAAAACCTCCAAAGAAAAACTATAAAGAATAGGTGGTTCTTTTATTATCCTAAAAGGCACCACTGATTTATACAAATTCTTCTTAGAGTAAAAAAGGGCTTTCTAAAAATCTTATAAATAGAGAAACAAATCCTTAAAATATTAAATTCAATTTCAAAATATAGTTTAAAAAATATTTCAAAACAAATCCTAAAGAGTAACTAATTTTTTTCTATTCAAAAAGCAACTATTGATTTATAGTAATACCTCTTAAAGAAAGTGAAGGCTTTCTAAAAATATTATAAAAAATAAAAAAATTCTTCAAATCTCAAATCCAAATTCGAAATATACTTTAAAAAAACCTGTAAAATAAATCCTAAAAAGTGACTAATTCTTTTTTTATTTAAATAAACATTGCTAGTTCATACTAATTTTTCTTAAAAAAAATAAGAGCTTTTTTAAAATCTTATAAAGTGAGTAAAAACTTTTCAAAATTTCAAATCCAAATTCAAAATTTACTTTGCAAAAACCTCCAAAGAAAAATTCTAAATAATGGTTGATTCTTTCTTTATTTAAAAAGATACCCCTTATTAATAATAAGTCTTTATCAAGAAAATGAGAGCTTTTTTGAAAGTTGATAAGGAGAAGAACTATTTTTCAAAATTGTGTATCCAAATTTAAAATATACTTTGAAAAAACCTCCAAAGAATACCTTGAAGAATAACTAGTTCTTTTATTATTCAAAAAGGCACTATAGCTTCATATTAATCCCTTTCTAAGCAAATAAGAGCTTTTAAAAAGCTTATAAAGACTATAAAAACTTAAATTTCAAATCTGAATTCAAAAAATAATATAAAAAAATCTTAACAAAAAATTATTAAAGACAAGCTGGCAATCCCTAAAGGAGAAAGTCCAAGGAAAGGAGAAGAAGAGAGCAGTCCAAAAGTATACACTAGCCTATGTCACTCCACCTTAGCCCACATTTCTTTACATCAATACCATACTATTCTATATTAAGTTCATATCAACCTATCTTATCTTATATCAATATATATATATATATATATATATATATTATTACAAATATATTTTTTATAATATTATATATTATTTTTATATAATATATTATTACCTAGAACAAAAATAAGTCTTACATAGTTAATTCGTTGGCCAAATATTCAACCAACTATTTATATTAATGTATAAAGATAAAACTAACTCCATAAAGCTCTTAAAAAGCTTCTCTACAAGAAATTATCATTCTAATCTACTTTTATCTACTTGTACATATAAATTTTATTTAAATACCTATAAGAATATATAAGTATGTCCATGACACTTATTGACTAAGTTTTCAATTTATGAATCATTTCTAGATACATATAAAGAAAAATATTATCTTTATGCAGTTTCTAAACAGTTTATTTATAAGATATTATAAATTTTATCTACTTTTATCTACTTCTTTCAACTCATGATATTTAAATAATTATCAAAGTAAATATATGTTTATGACATTAGCTCCATTTTTAGAGAAAAGTTCTACAAGGATTGGTGATCACATAATAAAGTCTAAGATAGAATAACTTATATTTGTTACGTACTTTGATCTTTGTTGTCTTTGAAGATAGTTTATAAGTCCTCTCAATTTTTGATAATTTTCTATATTAAGACAAAAAGACTATCTTAATATTTGATTGTTGATGATATCTTCAAAATCTCCTTCAAACAAAACATTTGGAATACCATGAAAAATAGATTTTGCTTCTAATAACAACACCAAATATTAGAAGTTTATTGCAAAGACATGATACCAAACATGTTGTATCTTGCCATTTAATTAAGAAAAAATATGTCATTTTTAAAGGTCTTCATCTTTATTTTATTGTCTTACAGGTTGTGACAATTGTAATGTTTTCTTTGACAACTCAATAAACTATAGGTCTTAAGTTGAATTTGCTTGTTATTAATTCTTCATCTCTTTAGTACTACAAATACAAAAAAATCACAATTAAGGATAGAAAATAGAATGCAAGCTTCATTGAACATCTTTTTTTTTCATAGCAAAAAATTAATTGATTCTTTATCTTGCTTTTGATGGATGTTGTTGATAAAAAGCTTTGAACTTTTCTACTATAATTGTAAGATTTATGAATGGCTTCCATGTGCATTTGTTAATATCATATGCTTGTCTATACACAACATATTCTAGCTTATTTCAATGCTATCTTGAGTGTAAAATTTTTTTAATATCAGATTTTTAATTATTGTGCACATTTACAAGAAGAGGTGGTATTTTTCTTTTCAAAATATTCATTGTCTTGTATGGCTAAAAAAAAAAAAAATAGAATATAAAATAAATTTTTATAGAATCTATTAAATAGAATCAATATGCGACTAGATTGATTTGTTTACAAACAAAAATTGGTCCAAATCTATAGTAGTCCAACTTGTCATAAAGATGACTAACCTTAATATTACAACAAAGTAACTATCCTTTCTTGTCTACATCAAAATTGAGGTTGTTTGTTGTAATAGGCATTTCCATTAATCTTTTGTTATTTTTGAGCTTCCTTAAATTATACCTTTATTGTTACATATAACTTTAATAAATAATATTTTAAATCTTCCACTACAAGATCATTAACATTTAAAAAGTCAAAAATATCAAGTCACAAATGATAACCATAATTTATATAATAATATATATATATTGAATAGAAGAATGTATTGTATTAATATAAGCAAATTTTGCCAATAGAAAAAAAGTTGTCCAATCATATTAATGGTAGTTGGTGACACATCTCACATATTGCTTTAAGACTTGATTCACTTATTCCATTTTTTTCTCAATTTAAGGATGAAAAGCCAAAAATAGTTTTGTATCTATCTTTAATAACTTGAAAGGAATTTTCCAAAACTTGGATGCAAATTGAGTCTCTTCATTTGATATAATATCTTTTAACAACCTATAATAACAATAAATATTGTAAAAAATAAAATTAATTATTTTTTCACTTGTGATAGATTTTGTACATAATACAAAATGTGTCATCTAGATATAATAATGTATTATTACAAATATGGATTCATAAGAGTTTGATATTTGATAATTTGTGATAAAATCCATAGAAATAAAAGTCCATGGTTGTCTTAGTGTATGTAATAGTTAGAAAAGTTTTTAAAGTTGATGTTGATTTTTTTGTTTTATTTTAAATAAATATCACATGAGTGTAGAAAGCTTTTGTTTACCTTTTACATTTGAGGCTACCAAAAATCTTTCAAGATTAATTCTAAGGTCCAATTGTATTCAAAATGTCATATAACTATAAAGTAGTGATGATCTTAGAGATTATATACTTGTATTTTACCTTTTCAAATATATGAGTGTCCTTCAAAACAAAGTAGATTGTTCATATATACAAACTTAGAAGTATCATAAAAATTAGATAGTTTATTTTTAATATAATGAATAAAAAAAATTTAAGGACATACTTGATTGAATTTTTTTAAGAAAAGGTTGAATCAACAATCAATGTCGATTTGATTGCCTAAAGATGAAAGTATTTTGAATTCAAAAAAATATTTTGTTGTCAATCAAAATTTGCACCTTTTTTCTTTTAGTACAAGATAAGAACAATTACAAAAGACATCTTATAAATCTTGTTGTTCTTTTGGTTCATAAGTGATCTTAAAATCAAATCTTGTCAAAGACATGCTTTAATGGACTTAGCAACAATTTAAAACATGTGTTAATATAAAATACTCAAGATTCTTATGATATATATACATATAAATAATCAATGGATTTGAAGCATCTTTTAGATAATGGTGCCATTCTTGAAATGAATCTATAATTACAAGAAGTTCTTTGTTATAGATCTTGTAGTTGATCTTCATAGCTAAAACAAATTTAAATTATAAGTAACAAGATGAAGTTTGTCATCTACTCTTATTTGTGATAATATTGCACCAAAGGCAAAATTTGATGCACTTGTTTCTAAAAAAGATGCCTTTGAGAAGTTTATAAATAACAAAATTGGTGCAACAATAAAAATTATTTTTATTCTTTAATATCATTCATGTCAATTTTAACACAACAAGAGTAATTTGATACACCATACAAAATACCTAGCAAAGTTGGCACCACAATGGTGAACATTCCAAAATGATTGAATTGGCAAAACCTTAGTAGACACCCACTCAATACCATATACAATGTCTATTCTACCTCTGGAGCCAAAAAAAATATGTAAAATCATACCACCAAGATTCTTGTTGCTCTTTTATTGATGTACTCAACTTCACCTTCACTGTCGATTTTAGATCCTTTGGACCAAGTGCAAACAAAACCACAAATATTACTCAGTGCTTTGGGATCTATAACGATCTCAAAACCGGTAATCTTCAATTGAAGCAAAGCATGTGTACTGCACAAGCCGGTAAAACAAAAAAAAAATATAGCATATACATTCAACCATGCAGAGGGTCGAAATTGGACCTTGGACCTGCCCGAAGCAACCAACCCTCCCTCTGAGTCACTGCCACCAACACACACAGTCACTGCCATAATCTCACAGTATTATTTATGCCATAGGCAGCGGGCTGGGCAGAACCCAGATTCTTACCTGGAATGGATGAATTTGAGGTACGATGAAGCGAAGTATTTGCTGCGTACCTATCCCTCGAAACCGACGCGCACAGGGTTGATCGGTAACGACTTTGTAAAGGGAAAAAGACTAGCGCAGCGCAGCTCGGACAACATTGCCTCCGCGTAAGAAGCCGGTCCACCGCGTGACAATTGCCGCGACCTCTACCTCGTCCATTGACCGGTCGGAGAGTAGCAAACTCTTCAAAACCCTCCGCCCCAGCCCCAGAGCTGCATCCAGTCCACTCGCTCCCTACTACAGCTGCCCCCGTTGCCTCCGCTTGCGCCCGCGTTGTTGCTCGCATCGGTGATCACAGCTCGAACTGCTGCCCTTGGTATTGCGCTTCCACATCACATCGGAGGAGATCTTGCGGTGGTTCAGGCGACCTTAGGCGACCGTCACAGGTGGGTGTCCAGTTGTGCGCTTCATGATGTGTTGTTGCGTGAGTGTTGGTTGTGTAGATGGGCATCGGATTTGGAAACCGCTGGAGTCATGGTCGTCATGGACACCGGTAGTGTGGGTAGGTGGGTAAGCGGTTTTGTGGGAGAGTCGGAGCTGAGAGTGGAATCCTGTGACGCCAGAATCGGTTTGGAGTTTGTGGAACGTGGTGGTGTCGGATTTCAGGAGTTCTTTGCATGTCGTGAAATGGAGTCGTTGTTGTTGGCAGTTTGATCGGAAGGCGAGTTGTGCAGGCAAGAGGCCAACGTCGCGCTGTTAGGTTCTGGCGTCGTGGTTTAGTTTTGGCAGCCTTCGTTGGAGAGCCGAGTTTGACCGAAAAAGAGCAATTGTGACGAGATAGGGTATTTGGTCGCGCAGGATTGGTTGCGGGCCACATTGCTTTGCTTTGATGGGCACGTATGAGATGAAGGGGGCCGAGGAATTCATTCCAATGGACTTGCTCCAACACTTGGCGACTGATAGTTACCCGAGTGTGGACGAATTGGGTTGTGATTTATGGGAGTGTGCGTCGTGGAAAGAACGTTTTGGAATGTCGTGAGAGCACAGTCGTAACCTGGTTTGTGTGTTGCTTGAACAGATTCAGATTCAGGAAGATGGCGTCCGCAATGTTGAAGTCCACAGTGACCATTGTTGCAGCCGTTTTGAGCATGGCTGTGTTGGCCAATGCGCAGGCGCCCAGTCCTGCCCCAGGACCTGAGAAAGGTGCCGGGGTCCTTACAGTGCCGACAATGATTGTGCCCGTGGTTGGGATGATCCTGTCTTTGGTTGCGGGGCGCATGCTGTGTTGAACACACGTGAGCTATGAGCATTGTAAAGTTGGATGCGTAGATTATGTAGTGCTGTTGAAGTGCTATCAATTCAATTCATGAGGTTAGGAAGATTGTGAAGCGGAGAAGCCGGTGGGACCGAGTTAGGGTGCAGAAGGCGACGACCAAGCGGATTTTCAGGACGAGAAGTTTGGCATGATGCTGTACAATAAGCAGTGATTACGGTAGCGGTAGTTAGGAATGTAGTGTGGAGTTTGAGACATTGAGGAGAAAAATTCATGAATATGGGTTTTCCTCTACATGCACAAATCTAGGTTCTAATTTGCATGCAATTAATGAAATTTTGTATTATGAAGATTAATCAATTAATACAATTTCCACAAAGAAGTACTTTTGATGAACGGTGGTATGATATACTTAAAAAGAGAGTGGAGAAAAATTGAATATTATCTTTTGATAGAAAAGAAAGATGGCTTTTATAAGTGAAGCATTTAAAGTTTATAGCTATGAAGCATCAACATATTGGGTGGGAGCAAATTCTAGCTTCATAGACTCTTGTTTTGTCCAAAGTAGACCCCATGTTTGGATGTAAGACCCGATGTTTGGATGTAAGATGGTTGATTTTATTATAATGAATATTCTTTAGTTGCTTCTTTTTAGGTTTGTCTCTTGCCTTAGTAATTTATATTTTTTGCTTAGGCTTCTTTATATATGGATGACCTTCTTCTAAAGACAATTGAGATCAATTTTGGTGTGGCCAAATTCATTATATTCCTAACAATCCATAGTCTATACATTTTAGTTTTTGCTTAGCTACTTATGGCTCATTGTTGTACTACAATTGCTTATAATATGTAAAAATTAATTCAAACATAGAATATGTTTATGAATCTTGATGTGTGTTAAAATCGTTATTAGGTTAATGTAAAAAGAGTTGATGTAAAAAAAGGTATTTTAAAATTTATATATTTTTATTATAGTGTTTAAATTATATAATATTTAAATATTTAATATAAAATATTAGAGAAGATATGAGCTCAAAAATGAAGATTCAAACTATTAAGAAGCTTATTTGGAGGGATAAAAAAATGTATAAATAGATTAAGGTTAAGAATGAAGGTCTTTATCTTTATTGATCGAAGACCATACAGAATAGGTTTTTTACTGGCTGCTTGTGATCATAATAAGGATTTTGGCAACTTCAAAAGGGACATTGAAGAATCAAAAGTAAGTATTATAAGATTTAAAGTTGGGGCTATAATTTGGGTTGAAAACTTACAGGGTTTAAAGTTAGGATAAAGAAATTATAGCCATTTGAAGTTAAGTATTCTTTAAGACATATTGTTGAACTTTTAAGGATGTAAGAAGTTATACTACAGCTTTTGGAAATTGAAGATGCACTTATAAGGATAATTTATTTGTATTTATAGCTAAATTCTCCAAAACATTTATCAAATCATTGTTAGGGATATAATCCTTAGAACCTTCTACAGACAAGTTTCTAGAACCTTCTAGAAGTAAGTCTCTGGAACCTTCTAGAAGCTTTCTAGTTAGTAGAAGTTACTTGAGAAGCTTCCTAAATAGGAGTATATATTGGAATCGAGGCTGAAGAGTTCTTCAATCTCAACAACACATCTCTTAGAGCTCTAGCTCACCTCTCTAGTATTGTTCTTGTATTCATCTGATTAATCTAGTTCTTGCCAGTTCTTCTTGAACTTCTTGTTAGATCTCGAGCCTGTATTTCTGTATCCATGATAGTTTGTCGAGACTGCACTCACCTCAGATATCAGAGCTAGTTTCTTCTTTGTTAGAGTATGGATTACCCCTCTGCTTGGAAGTGTACTAGCATTTTAGAGGTTGCGGATTACCCTCCTTTAAACTGATACTTCTTTTGTTACAATATTGGAGTCTTATTCTTCTTGGAGAGAGTCGATTATCCCTTTTTTTGAAGCTCTTAAGGTATTTTAGAGGTTGCAGAGTACCCTCCTCTAAACCAATATTGTTTTCTTGTAGAGTCATTTCTGTCCTTCTCTTAGAATGGTTGGAGGTCAAGACATTAGTATGATAGAAAGTTCGGAGTCCAAGTTGAATGCTATCATGAATGCCCTCGCTACATTACCGCAAAGAATTACAGAGATTGAAGGAGTCGTGGCAAGGCTTCATAATGATGGAGTATCTGGGATGGCACAATCTAGGTTGCACCAACCTCAAACTTCTGCACTTGGAGAAGCAACTTTGCCTCAGGGTCGACAAGCACTGCTGGTTCTACAACAGAAGGAGCCCCGAGTTAGCCTTCCGGACAAGTTTGATGGTATGCGTTCCAAGTTTCGAGGATTCGTCAACCAAATGAGGTTGATAACAGTTTTATAGCCCGAACGCTATCCAATGGAGGAGTCACGTGTTGGGCTTGTTGGAACCTTACTTAGAGGACAAGCTCTATCATGGTTTGCTCCTTTGTTTGAGAAACGATTGTCTATACTAAACAACTTTGAAATCTTTTTGGAGGCGTTTGCGGAAGCATTTGGTGAACACAACAAGGTTCGATGGGCTACAACAAAGATCCGGTCACTACGACAAGGGATGTGCTCTACATTAGTCTATGCATCGGACTTCAGGCAATTAACATGCGACATCAATTGGAACGAAGAAGCGTTGATGAGTCAATTCTATTGGGGTTTAAAGGACAATGTGAAGGATTTGCTGTTAACTCTTTGTGATCCACAAACGCTCAATGAAGCTATTAGACAAGCTGTGAAGTGCGATAACCGTCTATTCCAACGCCACGAAGATCAATGTTCAAGACAACATACGATTTGCCATGCCCCAACTATGTCGACAAGCAACGTGAATTCACATTCAGAGGTAGAAGATATGCAAATTGATGCGGTACGTGTCAAATTCCTTACTCTAGAAGAAAAAAAACGGCGTATGGAGGAAGGTCTATGCTTGTATTGCGGTGAAGAAGGCCACAAAGTTGGAAACTGCCCCAAGAAGCAAAATCGACGTATTGGCAGGACTAGGGGCACATTTATTCAAGAAAACGAGGATGCCCAGCCACAATAGGAACCGTGCGGCTGGACAGTGAAACATCGCAATAACAACCAGGTTCCTTTCTTTCCGCTCAACTTGCCCTTTGTTTTACAATCCCTTTATTTATTGGCCCTCAGAAACTGAGAACCTTAGCATTATTAGATTCAGGAGTATCTGCTTGTTTCTTAGACAAAGAATTTGTGAAGCATCATAAGATTCTTTTAGTACAAAAATCCAAACCTGTTCACGTTGAGGTCATAGATGGACGATCTTTATCTTCTAGTAGTATCACCCATGAATCAGAACCTATAGAAGTGACGTTTAAGGGCCATAGTAGTCATATTATTTTCAATACTATTAGGATCCCATCAAATCCTGTTATTCTTGGTCTTTCCTGGTCAAAAAAGCATAACCCATCCATAGATTGGAAGTTGCGGAAGATGACCTTTCCCACAAAACCATCCAAGAGCAAGCCTAGTAGAAAACCCCGAATAGAGAAATCCTTATTTATTGGAGCAAGAACGTTTATAAGATCGGCTAAGGAAGGCACACCGCTTGTCATTTATGTGGCTCCAACTACCGGGGAGAAGATCTCGACAACAAGTATACCGAAGCAATATAAGGATTTTAAAGACGTGTTTCAAAAGAAAAATGCCGACATGCTACCGGAACACAGACCATATGATTGCGCCATAGACTTACAAGAAGGAGCACAACCGCCTTTTGGCCCAATCTACAATTTATCGCAAACGGAGTTGGCGGAGTTGCAGAAGTATATCGACGAGAATCTAGCCAAGAACTTCATCCATCATTCAAAATCGTCAACTCGAGCACCCATCTTATTTGTGAAGAAGAAAGATGGCTCATTGCGGATGTGCGTGGACTATCGAGGCCTCAACAAGATAACAAAGAAGAATCGTTACCCATTACCCTTGATTTTTGGTCTCTTAGAACAACTTGGATGTGCAAGGATTTTTACAAAAATTGATCTAAGGGGAGCTTACAACCTCGTACGAATCAAGGAAGGAGATGAGTGAAAGACAACGTTCCGTACAAGGTATGGCCTTTTTGAGTATAATGTCATGCCCTTTGGTCTTACCAATGCTCTAGCGATCTTTCAACATATGATAAATGATATTTTCCGAGAGTACCTTGACGATTTTTTTGTCATCTATTTGGATGATATTCTGATATTTTCCAAAAATGAGGAAGAGCATGAAAAGCACGCTCGTTTGGTCTTTGAGAAACTACGCGAGCGAGGACTATATGCCAAATTGGAGAAGTATTTATTTCACCAAATAGAGATGGAGTTTTTGGGGTTTGTTGCGACTACGGAAGGCTTGAAGATGGATCCCAAGAAGGTAGAAGCAATCGTGTCCTGGGAGGTTCCAAAGACGGTGAGAGACGTACAATGCTTTCTTGGATTTGCCAACTTCTATCGGATCTTCATCAAGAATTACTCTCAAGTTGCTACTCCTCTTACTCGGTTGACATGCAAGGATAAGCTAGAATGGGGACCTCTAGCAGAGAAGGCGTTTCAAGACCTGAAGACCATATTTACTACGGCTCCAATCTTGATACATCCAGACTTTACAAAGGCCTTTTATTTAGAAACTGATACTTCAAATTTTGCTTTGGGAGCTGTACTTTCACAAATGGGAGAAGACAAGGAGCTCTATCCGGTTGCATTCTATTTTCAAAAGTCCTCTGTTGCTGAAATCAATTATGAGATCCACGATAAGGAACTTCTTGCTATAGTGGATTCTTTCCAAGAATGGCATCATTTTCTTGAAGGAGCTGCACACCCAGTGACCATATACACAAATCACAAGAATTTGGAGTATTTCATGTCGGCTCGAGTTCTAAATCGACGTCAAGCTCGATGGAGTATGTTGCTATCTAGGTTTGATTTTGTTATCACTTATCGACCTGGAAAGCAGTAAGGACTATCTGATGCCTTATTGAGGAGATTGTATCTTGTACCAAAGGCTGGAGAAGCAGCGTTTGATCAACAATGTATGACGTTATTGAAGCCAGAGCAATTTCAGCTTCGCGCTACTATTGTGCCAATTGATGCTGACTTCTTGAATCAGGTACTTGCCACCACCATTAAAGATTCATTAGCCGTTGATATCAAGCAGCGTGCCAATGACGACAAATTTAAGGTAGAGGGAGATCTTTTATACTTTGAAGAGCAGTTGTATATCCCAAAAAGACCAACACGACTCCGAGTTCTTCAATCTCGCCACGATTTTCTAGCTACGGAACATTTTGGATTCAACAAGACCTTGGAGCTTATTTCTTGAGATTTTTGGTGGCCCCAAATGTAGAAGGATGTGAAAGATTTTGTCCTCTCCTGTGACATCTGTTC